CGATACTCTTTGAGTTTGCGTTTCTTCTCTACCATTTTACGCAAAGCTTCCTTTTCATCCTCCGTCTTGACTATATGGTCGTGGAAAAGTACTTCGCCAGTCAACAGACCTTCCTCGATTTTCATCAGCTGCATTGTTAGACGTGGGCCGATTTCATACAAACGAACTGCCGACTTATTGTCTTCTAAGTTACCTTTGCGTTTCAATGTTTGTGGCAGTACGACCTGCGCATGTTCATCGTCTTCCATTTCAGATTCTGAAGCAGCACCGTCTCTGGATTGGAATGAGATTTATGTAAAAATGCAACATAATAAGAAGGGAATACTAAACACAAACTTACTGCATTATGAAATCAGCGATATCTTCGCATTTAGATAAATTTGGAATTTTTCCCATAACAAGCTTTTTAACGCCACGCGTCAAACCAACAGGAACTACTTGCACTGAATAATGGCGCATTTCTATTAAATTTGTGTCGCGCGTATACGAGAATAGCACACATCGTCGAATTGTGGCTATATTTACCTTTATAAGAGCAAAATAAAAAAAACAGTAATAATAATCAAAAACACACACAGCATTCTGTTCAGCTTTTAGTTACATACCTGCGCCAAATTTATGGCAGGGAACATATTTTGGAACGTACTGGCCATTAGCTTCAAATGTTTGCCATCACCTGTGAAATTATTCATGATAACCAGCGGCGAACTTTTAAACATGTCATCATCCACATATTGCCGTTTGCTGGTCGAGAGCACGTCGCGCGCCAATGTGAATTGGTGTACCTGCCAAGAAAGTGGGTTTTATGCTTTATTTTTTGATTTATAACAATTTTTGATTCATCCTACCTTAAAAGTTAACGTTGGACCACGCGGCATGCGCACTATTTTAAAAGACAACTGGGATGTGGCCTTATTAAATATGCCCATATGGGAGACATGGAAGTAACCACTCATTGTCACAAAATCTTTAATGCGATTCATTTTCTTTTCCTTCAACTGGGATGCCGTAAATGGTTCCATTATTTTACGAAAATCCAAAGTTAAGTCGGTTATATAGGGACAGGAAAGACCACGATGTATAATAAACGAATGTGGCGCATCAACCAATTCACTTGCTTCCTTCTCTTTGAAAGCAGCGGTACGCTTCTTCGGATGCGACTTCTTCTTGGCTTTACCCATTATAACAGTGTATTTTTTTATTTTATATTGAGAAAATTATTGTTTCGATTATTTTATAAATGATAATATTGACCGCACACGCTTGAACTCTGCAAATTATAAAATTTTCATAATCGCAAGAAGATCCTCGTGTTTACAATCTTCTTCTTGTTAATTATGTGGTATTCACGTTTGCTTCTTTGAGCAGGTTACAGTGAACGCCACATTTTTTTAAAGGGTGCTCGTCGCCGATGGCGTATTTTTAACGTTAGAGCATTTTCCACGACATTTTTTAGGGGTTGTTGTTGTTGTAACGGTATTATAAATTCTCAAATAGTTTTTGAGGAATGATGCTGGAGTGACAGTAATTGCCCAGATATGAATCTGGGTCTTTCCGGTTACATAGACCCCGACTGTTGTGGGAACATTTTTATGGGGTATTTTTTAATGTTACTCGTCTCTCGCGAAACGTATTTTCACCAAATTTTTAAGGGGTACTCGTCGCGCGAACCACTTTTTAACAGCGAGAGCCAAAAAACAAAGTAAAATGAATAATCAGAAGAATTTATATCCACGATGAAAATGTATGCTAAGGGGCTTTTGTAAAAAAAAAAAATTTATTTTTATAAAGAATTCGGCAGTCCGAGTTTCAATATGCATAAACACCTTTAAAAGTTTAGTATATTTTACTGTTATCTGACAGTAAAAAATTTATAAAAAGTACTAGAGATAAATGATCACATTTTAAATAAACTTAATTATAATTTGGTCTTGAAACCAAGCTAGGTGAAGGGTTGAAGTGACTTGTTATAAAATAGACAATACGTTTATTCTATCGGACGACTTATCGAGTGCCGATAAGAAATTCTATATTTTAAATGTGACTTTTATTTATTTTCTTAGGAAAGTAAAAAATCCAGTTCAATGTTTCTACCACTTGCTGTTGTAGCACTATTTTTCCCTGCCTAGATACCCATGCCCGGCAAATAAACGGAGGGGCGTATTAGGTGGTTAATATCATGCGGTACATACATATGACCGATGGCCATGTCGCGGTCAAATATGGGGAAGTAGGAGTTTACGCTGCTACAGTAACCAGACCATGGCGTATTTTTTCACTTAATTTGGTGCTTGTTTAAGATATACGCGTACACCCTAGGCTTGAAGTGAAAAGCATTTTTATCGTACATTTTTGTTGTTCTCATTTTTTATTTTATTCATTTAGATACACTTAACATAGGTAAATATAGCAAAACACAATATAATTGCATTAATCAATCAATCGATTAATTATATGTATTTTTTTCTCACTAATTTTATAATCATCAGTAATTTACAACTGGCTGTTGTTAGATGTTGTATCGCTTTCTTTCGCTTCGCTTAATTCATATAAGTTTTCCAATGTTAATTAATTATGTATTAACTCATCTACGCATTTTCTTTACTCTCTTCCCTTAGCTTCGCTAAAATCTTGATCCTTTCTTTCACTCTCTATTGCTTGCTTGCTTGCTTGTATGCCAGTCCAATAAAATTTCATATAGCGATATCTGTTTGAATGGTGTTCCTAATCGTACAGGACCACCAATGAATTTCTCAATAGCTTTTCCCTCCGCATGCTAGTAGTTCCGGTAGCCCTCTACGTTTCCTCTCCACGCACATCCATTGCATTATGCATGCGGTGTAGGTGTTATTGGTGTTTCCAGCGTGTATTGATTACTTCATAATACATAATTTTATATATAAAACATTACTTTTGTATTTTATTTATTTTTTAATTAAAAAAGCAGAATATTCAATTGTTTGCAGTTTTCTCTTGTGTGTGTTTCCCCTTATATATATTTAAATTAATTTCGTTTTTTTTTGAGTTTGTTGTTGCTTCTAATTATTTTTTACTAAAACATTTACAATAGTTTTACATATCCTTCGTATATGAAAAAAATTATAATTACAAACTTCAATTCTTTCGGTATTCCCCTTCATTCTTTTTAAAGTAAAAAATCTTCTTTTCAATAAAAAGTATGCTTTTAAAATTATTGAACTGATTTACTGAATTTAATTAAGCTATAGTTGCTTAAATAAATAAGAAAACGCACTTAATTGAACTCAATAGTAGATATGCGAGCGTATGAAATCAAATGGGGGCGGTGGTCATGGTAATGGCTGGGTGAATGGGAATACAACTATTTTATTTGTGTAGTTCTCATCAATACAGTCACGCGTAGTTTTATTTTTTTTTTTTTTGATTGCGATTGTTTTTGGATTATATTATAGGGAAAACTTTTTAAGAAGGCGGAGACTTAAGCGAAAATTTTCAAGTTTAAGGATTGCGTTGAGAGGCGTTCATTGTTTACTTCATTCTGTTTATGTTGTTGTTGTTGTTGTTTGTTTTCCAAGAAAATACGCTTTCAAATTATAGTTAAATATGTATATTATTACTTTTCTTTCAAAAATTCATTGCAGTTATACTAATTTCTGTTTCAATTATTTCCTTGCATTTAATATAATATGTATTTATAATAACCATTTTTTACTTTTACCGTTTGTTCTGTTTAATTGCTTTTGCTTTGCTTTGTTTATTGCAATTGGTTGTAGGCTCTGTAATTTGGAATTGATTTGGATTGAATTTGATTGGGGAACTATGGTCGTAGTAGTTTATTGTAGTTTTATTGGTTGGTTGGTTGTTGTTATTATTTATGCATAGATGACATTTAAAAGTAATGCAGAACGTGCATAAGGCGGTCACTGACAACACTGCTTGCGCACATCAGCCGTAACAGTCGGCTTCACATCGATGGGCTCCACATTTGGACGAATAACATCACCCTCGGGTGGATCTCTGATTTGTTTCTGCGATACGATACGATAGATTTCTGTAAGGATTCAATCGAATGTTATATGTATGTAAATATTTTAAAGATATTGCAAGCCAGTTTAAAGTGTTCGAATAAAAATACATATGCATCGATAAAGGAATTTCACCTGAGAGTATATTTTGGAATGCAGTTTCGACGTTCGTCGAATCCAAGGCAGACGTTTCAATGAAACTCAGCCCATTACGCTCAGCAAAGAGTTTCGCCTCATCTGTCGGCACGGAACGCAAATGCCGCAAATCGGACTTATTGCCCACCAGCATAATAACAATATTCTGATCGGCATGATCACGCAACTCTCGCAACCACCGCTCCACATTCTCGTAGGTCAAATGTTTGGCAATGTCATAGACGAGCAGTGCACCAACAGCGCCGCGATAGTATGCAGACGTAATGGCTCGATAACGCTCCTGACCGGCCGTATCCCATATCTGCGCTTTAATTGTCTTACCATCAACCTAAATTAAATGAAAAGAGAACAAACAAATATTATGTAGACGTTGTGGGTAGTTGCGTAAGCTTGTCATTAGAAGTAAAATGTTACTATGTAGCGCTTAGGCTAGCAAATATTTATGTAAGCTGGTGGGGTAATATTATATTTTAATGTACTGTATAAATAACAAAAAGTAAATATGAAACATGATCCCCTAAACAAGAAGCACCCTTTCCTGAATTTAATATGTAATAAAATGTTACTTGCCTCTATGCTACGTGTTGCAAATTCAACTCCAATTGTCGACTTCGATTCCAAGTTGAATTCATTGCGCGTGAAGCGGGAAAGTAAATTACTTTTGCCCACACCGGAATCACCGATCAGCACAACTGTAAAACGTAATACAATATATAAGCTACTGATTACAATAAACGATATGTATGTACATAAGTTCATATCGCTCAATTGCGGGCAGAATGTAATAACTCAAAATATAAGCAATGCAAAACAAGTCTTTAAAGTTTTACAAAAAAAAAAAATCTAAATAATTTAATCAGTACAACTTATTAAATTAATTTAATAATAACTTTTTTTTCAGTTGCGTTTGAGCTATGACGTTCTTCAAGCAAACAAGCGATATTTACATATCTCATTCATGATTAGTGATAGTAAAAATTCGAGCAGTTAACTGTCGCCAGGCGCCAATTCAGACATTTTTGCTCTTTTGACATTTTAATATAATTGGATATTTTTGAATTGCTGATAAACACGTTCTCTTTTTCAACTTTACCGCCGACGCAATACCACATCAAACGTCCACATATAGTTGTGTTGGGCAATTCTACATTGATAGTGGCTATGTTGACTTCAGACCCGATTTGCATGTAAATAATTTCTTTTGGAGTTTTGCTATAGCCAGTTCTTTAATTCATATAAATCATACTTTTTGAAGGTATTTACCCAGAAGACAATTTAGTTAGTTCTTCCAAAGTGAAACCATTCTAAAAGGCTTAACCAAGATGAGCATGCTTTTTAGAAGGGCTTTTGCTATTTGCAATTTACACGAATGTATAATTTTATATTATTTAGCATTACAAAAGCCAGTACATATGTATTTGATATGAACCTTCAATAAATACCTTGAAGAATTATTGTTTTTATTACCTAAAGCAGCAGCTTTAGAAACAAGAATTCAAAAGACCTTCTCATGCACGTCCTATAAAAGTCCCTCTATATGTAGCGAAAGCAGAGGCCTTCAAGTTGTGCCTCACGTCTCTCAGGAATGCCTTTTAGAATGGTTTTTAGCCCTTGAAATTATCTACTGGGTATTTACGGTTCATCCCAAATACGTTTTATTGCAAATTAAAATGCATCTGTAATGGTAAATAATATAAACTTATTACTTTCTTATTTGTAAACAGAATGCATGCAGGGAAACACTTTTTTCAGCCATTCTTAACAAACGACTTTTTGACTGGCTTCACTGAAAAAGGCCTACCCAAATTGTCTTCTGGGCTGTTGTGCCTCGCTCTTGCAAACAATATTTTTTCTCAGCTATTATCTTAATCGTATCAACGAATGAGCGGACGGAGTGAGTCATCTATTGTGGGATTTGGTATCAGAAGCTAAATATTTTTAAGTGTAAGCAATCGATATTTTCTTGTAGAAGCTTTCTTAAGCATGACTAACCAGCGATTCTAATGTCGTTTATCTGAAGG